GGCGAAGGTCACGTCCTTCCTTCGCCTCCCCTTCTTGTCCACCCGGCGGGGTTCGGCCTTCGCTTTTAGGATCGGCGACCGGCCGTCTGAGCCGTTGTTGACAGAACACGTCGCCCGGCGCCGCGTGGACGCCGCCACACCTGGGAGCGGAGCTGAGCCGGACTCTTCTCTCTGGCTGCGGGGGTGAGTCCATCCAGGAACCAGCTGCCCTGCCGAGAGAGGATTCCGGGGGACGACGCCGGCGGCGGGACTTCCGGCCGAGTACGTTCGGCTCAAGTTTTCGTCCGGCGCCACTTGCGGATTATCCCGCTAAACCTTTCCCGAGCCAGGACGCCGCATAATGAGGGGATCATCTCCATCACGGTCAACGTCTCACGAGCTGACAGCGGACCCTTCGTCACCGACTCCTGGCGCGGCTTATTGAGGTCAAGAATGCCCCGGCGCCGGATTGGGAAGCCCGTCCGACGCTGCAGTGTGTGCGTGTATGTGTGTGCGCACTCGAGAGGAGTGGGGGCGGGGCCTGAACGTGACGTCCGTTGGCAGTTCGGCCACCATTGGCTGCCAACCGCTGGAACATAAACAGCGACGGTATAAAAAGAGCAGACGAGAGGCCGCGAGTGTGCTCTCCGACGAACAAGAAACTTCTGTACATATGTATTATAAACAGAGTTTATCGCGAGACACCCTCCCGTCTCCTGATGTCCCTGCCTGGAGTCGGCCCGCGGTTCCTGTCCTCGCCTGGCCCTGCCTGAGGCTGCCTGGGGAACTCCTCGGTCGCAACAAGCACAAGTATAAAACCGACCTTTATCTAAAGTAAAATCGCTCTATAGCTAGTGGCAGAGGCTGAACTCTATCGAGCGAATTATGCGATGAATAGCTAACGATCGTCGCCCGACGGCACGCTTCCTTAGCGCGCAAAGTAGCAGCCACTGTGCTGATGCTGCGAGCGGTGCGAAAGCCCGCCGTGCCAAACTCTTCGCTTTTTCGCAGCACAATCGTCCCTTGGAGTCCAGCTTTTAAAAAAATGGCAAATCCAGTCCAGCGCGTGCTCGATGCTGGACATTCAGACGTCTGGACGCCTCGCGCTTTTTACGGCGACAGGTGTTAGTTGGAAACTCCACGGGAGAGTGAACCGTTGTCCTTGGCGAAGACCAATGTTACTCGATCAGGTCCGTTCCGAAACTGCCCATAGGCGCAGCTTGCACGAGCGCAGAAGCTATTAAGCATTATCACACTAACATTAAACAACCAAACAACAAACTAATGAATATAATGTCCAGATTCCGCATCAGTACCTGTCTTCAAGTTCCTACTTCATCAACCACTAAAAGGCCGCCATAAGCATGGACGGAAACCATACACTTACATGAACAGTGAGAGAAGCGGCCATTAATATTTTGTAGTAGGTTTCGAAACAGGCAAAATATTGGTTTGAAGCTGTCACTGACGCTGTTGGAGCGGATGCCAACATCTGTTTGTTCATCACCTAAAAATTAAAAACAAAAGTTATTGCATGGCTACATGAAACAGAAGCAGCCTTCTGTTTTTAAAAATAAAACCCATGTCAGAGTAGGATCCATTTACAATGTGTAATAATTTTTTTAATAAAATATAACGTGACATTTTGTTTGAAGTAAAGCCTCTCCGCCTTCCCCTTTTACACGAGGCAGTTTATTTTGCTTGTAAGTATAAAAAGCCAGCCAAAACCAAGACATCCGCTAAAATGTCTATCAATGAAAATATGGCCCCGAAGTTTTCTGAACCTACCGAACTCAAGGTTTTTATAATATAAGCTGCAAAAACAGCCACCCACAAATATTACGGAAAATTACGGCGTGGGAACCAGAATTTTGCAGAAGAATCTGGAGTTGGGCAAGTTGGCACATCTTGTATTCGAAAAGCGCCAGAAAACAAGGACAACAGAAGGAATAGACGAAATGATGCGAAAAGCTCATCGTTTCGTCTATTCCTTCTGTTGTCCTTGTTTTTTGGCGCTTTTCGAATCCAGAATTTTGCTACGCTAGATTGCCGTATTTATTTAAACACAGACTCTGGTTATTTTTTACTTTTTTTGCACAGTTTTTTTTAAAGTTTTAGGTCAACCTAAACTTAAGAACAAAAAACGTCGACCAGTAATAGTACAGATAATAGTTTGCGTACCAGTCACGCTAAACTAAATGTTCCCCCATATCAACTGCCGCCCGTAGCATTCCGGTGCAAAGCAGAGAAGCTGGACGCGAACCCGTTAGTGTACGTCGGCGAGGGTTGATGCAGGCGTCGGCAGTTCCACAGTTCACTGTAGTCTGTAACCATGGCACGGAGGTATGTGGCAGGCATGACAATCAAGCGATTTCATTTGGAGTAGAAGACCCTGGTTGTTCCTTATCACACTATCCGGCATCCCACTATTTTGTTAATTTAATATGCGATAGCATTACTAGGCAGGTGTTTGTCGATCTTTTTGAAAGTTTACAAAGGCACGTGACGCAGGCATACCGGTAGCTAACATTCGCCAAGCCCTCAGCGAACCCCAGCTGACATTCCTAATGAAACCCGTAGGGTCCGGCGTGCTGTGGGTCTCCGCCACCACAGAGCATGTGCCGAAATTCGAATGGCCCTGGGGGGGGGGGGGGGGGTTCGTCATACTGTAACGACCTCCGCCACCAAAAGAAAAACAGATATGAAAGACACGCGCGGCCGACGGGAAGTCGAGGGGAAGTCCCAAACTGCGCGTCTGAAGCACGTCAGGCGCCGCCATCTTGGGTCTGTGCCGTCTGGGCGATCATTTGCAGCGTACGCACAATCATCACCATCGTCTACATATCGCCAAATAAAACCAAAGAGAACGTAAAACGCTTCTTTTTTGTGCACTTCGTCAGTTATGCGCCACTTATAAAATAGTTTAAATGCATGGAAGACACCGACTGTGACAAGACTCAAATTATTGTTGCCGAATATTTTTACCCGGACGTCACGAGCAACGCAATCCGTGGTTTACTGACTTCATGCGCGAATCTTTCGGATTACACCTCGCGAGCAGCGCCACAATCCCCAACACCCACTACGGCACCAGTGACACCACCATCGATTGCGTCTTCGCGCGAGGCGTTCCCGGATTACGTTGCATGGAGTTTGTAGTTTACTTCTCGGTACATAAACCATTGCTCTGTATAAATTTCAAACTTGAATACAGCCGCAAAATCGCCAAGAACAAGAAAAACAGCGACAACAACCTTTACAGTCATTGCAGTGCCACCAAGGATCGCCACACTGTTTGCATGGGGTGAAATTGTTTATATCGCTTCAAAACACTTTTTACCAAGAATATCCCTATAAAGCTACAGCATTTTAACGCGTCTGGCAAAATGACCAAACATGTAGCCATTTTTTACGCTAAGTGAATGGCAGAGACTGCCCCATTATACTTCGTCTCACCCTATGATGGACTAAAGGCAGAAGCTACGAACCGCCAGATCTAATCACGAGCCACTTAGACATTGTGTGCTATTTCGTTCGAAGCACGTATCGGTGCCCACGCCTGGGATCACCGATGGGAATGGGCCGACAGTGGTTCAGATCGAGCAATGAGCAAATCGACGATTTGACATTGCAAAGAAAGCCACGGCTGACTGGCTCTTTGCAGTGTCGAAGCTATAAAAATGACGCAGCGTTTTTGGATTTGGAGCAATATTCGTCCAAACCTAACCAACGCTAAGCGTGTCATAGTTTAGCGTGGAACGTGATTGGACCTGGTAGCCCGTGGCTTTGGCCTTTAGTCCATCGTAGGATGAGACGAAGTATAGGGCCTCTCATTTTTCTGGGATGCTGATTGCCGCGAGTGTTATTTGTTTTACATGCGTGGTATGGGGGGGGGGGGGGGGGTGTCCTTAGACGCGACGGTTTGTCTGTTCGAATGTGTCGGTGCTTGTGATCAGTGCATGACTTAGAATTGAATAATGTTTCATGTGTGTGACTCGTGTTAAGTATTTCTTTAAATGACTGTTTTTGTGTCTCGATCATCCTTTTTGAAACAAAACTACTGGTCAGTCCTATAAAGTCCTGGCGTAGTTTTGCCGGGGAGGTGTAAGGATGTTTAAGCCTTAGCGGTTTGGGGAGACGATAGTCGTGGTTCCACCGGCTGTTTCGGTTTTGTTTTGTCTTTCGGGTGAAAGGTCTTCCCTCGTGGATGACTCTTTGGTTATTACGGCCAGTGGTGTTGTGCGGATCAATGGTCAGTGATGTCTTCTTCGGTGCCTAGTTTTGTGGAGTGTGACGAATGCTTCGTGAAAATACAATGCAAAACTCTTTAACAATATACACAATTTCTTATGTCCCAAGCAGGAGGTTCCTTGCTGATCCGTTACGAGGGATTAAAACCCTATCTAAAAATCGCTCTCTCTTGCCCGGGAACAAACTTTTGAGGGCCCCAAACGTTTTGCCCTCCTGCAGGAGTCGGCCAATCCCTTCATATCTTTAAGAACACACGGGACGCACGCAATCTAATAGTTGTCACTGACGTTCGTCAAGCCCTCAACCGACCCCGGCCGACAGCCCCGACGAGAACCCGTGGGGTCCGGCACGGCGTCTTTGCTCAAAAACCGACCGGCTCTGGAGGGAGGCTCGCCAAGGCGTGACGACCCCACCGCTAGAAAAACAAAACAAAAGCAAGCAAACAGACACGACAGACACACGCGGCCGACAGATAACCAAGGCGGTCGGTGCAACCCCCCTCTCTGACAAACTACAAAGGCTGGACCATCCTTACACTGAATTTGGAAAGCGGTCTGTTGTACTTAAAATACTTATTTCTTTTCATAATTTAATACCATTGACAAATGTGTTTCAAATATATACCTGAATGCAAAATAGTGAAAAAATATTAGAAGTCATTCAATCACATATTTTAAATATTTGTGTGAAATAATGCCCAACCCTGATGACAGATATATAAAATAAATGCTTAACATATGTATGTATATGTATATGTTTATGTATATTAGAAAAAGCAAGGAGGTACCGATGTTTATGATGGATGTTCCTATTGGGCGCTCTCCACGATCTAACTTCACAACGTTTGGTAAGTACCAGAACCACTTTCTAATAGAAAAAAAAGGTTAAGTCGAAGGTGCCAGAAATGCGGAAGCTTTCATAATTGCGGAAGCCAATTCGAGGATCCACATATATTACATTTTCTTGGCAAAATAGCAATACCTGTCCCAATGGTATCTTCAAAAGGCTTTATGTGCGTTTAAACGTGTCGGCGCGTACTCTTTTTCACTGTAAGAATGAGTGTAGCAGAAGCTACAAGTGCAAGCTCTGCGTTTTCAGTGACCGTGGCTAGCATGCGTCTCGTGTAGTAAAGCAATGTTGAGTGCAACATACCCTGCTTGTAGCTTCGGCTTCTGTCGCAAAAAAGCTAAAAATACTATACAAGCATTTTTAAATTGCTTAAACATGTCACTTATCATAAGTAATACCCAATGAACTGTAGCACTTCCCTAATATTTTGAAGTTTTTTCTACACACAACTACGAGTTTTGTTTCAGACGGTTAGCATTTGTAAATAAAAGCAGCACATTTATACTGTTATGAGAGTGAATTAAAAAAAAGAAAAAAAAGATTGGTGTACGATAGTCTCAGAACGCTAAATGTCTTAGCAGTGCCTTGAACTTAACATCTGGTTTCAGAAGGGGAATAATAGAAACTTGCAACATCGCCTAGTCTAACCAGGTCCTATAGGCGATCAGTGCGCTGCAAGCATCGTTGGCCAGCTTGCGAGAAGAACTGAGCCAACGCAGACAGGAATACAGGGGACCTCTTGCAGAGCTCTGTCGCGAGGTTGCCGCGCAGTTCCAGCACCATCCTGGGACTGGGTCATCACCTCTGTTTACGGAACCAGGTTGCCCACTACAAGCTCCAGCACAGTCCGGTGAAAGCAGGCGGGCAACGGGTAACGTGGGCACTGCGAACGAGGCGTCATTGACCATGCAAGTTCCAGGAGCTGCGGAAAATGGGACAGGACATCGAATGCCTTCTTCAGAAGGGAATAATGTACGGCACCAACAACAAGCTTTAGCATCTGAAAAAAAAAAAAAAAAAAAAAACATTTGTGAAGTTTGAGAACTATCATGGGCGAAGCTGTTGGAGTGCCTTTCTTGTGCACTTCAATCTAGTCGCTGACCTGAATGGATGAACCCCCTCGTCACGAGGAGCTTTCTTGATATCCAGGCTCCAAGGGCCAGATTTAGATTTGCCTCAAAATGTTCTTACGCACAGCGAGAATACAAGGTTGTCGTGGGATCACTGGAAGGGCGCTTAGGCTAAAAAAACCTAGGTCGACTTTGCCATGCCGCACTCCGATCTACCATTCAGAGAAAGGACGAGTCGTTGTCAGAACTCACCACTGACAGTGAAAGGCTTCCGCTTCTCGCCTACGATGGCTTCACAACATTGGCACTGGAAACTGCGGCTGTGGGACACTTTCTGGGAGCCATTGAAAACTCTGAGGTACAGCAGTTCGTCCACCTATCTTCACCAGCATGCATGCGTGACGCTGTGGCACGAGCCATGGAAGTGGAGGAAAGGAGGAAAGCCGTGAGAGTCACTCGGCGGGTCACAACGCCAGCTGAGTTCCAGCCACGCCTGCCGTCGGCGTCATCGCCGGTTCAACTCCGTAATATAGATCGGCGAGTCTCCCTAGATTCAACAGGGATAGTTCAGCCACGCCTGAGGCCACCTCCTACATGCTGGCACTGCGGCCGAAGAGGTCACCTCCAGAGGTGTTGCAGCCGGCGTGATACTAGAGGAAGTGAGAATTCCCCACATGAACACTAACTCAGCCGAGCTCGCCGGCCAAAACTCTGCTGAAAAGGAAGAAAAAGAGACGGTTTCTGCGTTACAGTTACAGAAGTTACGTGTCGACAAAGATGGGCTTTTTGTGAGGCGTCTCATGTAGAATGCTGGTTGACACTTGTGCCAATGGTACCGTCATTAGGCCGCATGTCTATAAAAGATTAAAGCCTCCCGTGCCGCGTACCGTCAAGGAGAAACGGCACCACTCATGGCATCCTGCGAGCATATTTTTTTTGGCACTCAACCCTTCACGCAAGTCACTTATGTTGCCGATATATTTGAAGAATGTATTCTTAGACTTGATATTCTAAAAGCTAATGGTTTTTCGTCAGACTTCAAAGACCACACGTGGAATCTAAGTGACGAACATATTATTTTGAGAAACCAGCGGGAACTTTTGGACAGCAGAGCTGGATTTCTGTTATGCTCTAAATCCACTCTGGCTTCCCCACGGAGTGAGACTATCATCTGGAAAACTGATGGAATAACTGCTCGGACGGTATTGCTGTTGCTGAAGAAGATGTCACGAGCAATATTGTTACTGCAGTTATGATTGCCAGAACATTTGTACATTTCAACAACGAATGTGTCCCCATCCGTGTCGCCAATGTAACGGATGAAGCAATCCACTTCAGGAAAGGCTGTCGAATCGCCAGGTCATATCGTGCTGTCAGTCTCACTCCTCCATAGAAATATCTATCGCGCCTTGCATAAGAAGAGTTTCCCATCTCCCTGTTGGAACTAACAGACCACTCTAAAGATTACCTTGATCAAGCAAAACAAGCATCTCGACTCAGCTTGCTTAATAAAATCAGAGATTTGTTTGCTTCTTCTTCTGAGACCGGACGCACCAGTGCTGCTCATCCCCGTATTGATACGGGTGATGCTACTTCGATCAAGCAAAAAATTCCGGAGAGTTCCGTTAGCAAAACGAAGTGAAGTCGGTCAGATGATCCTGGAGATCGAGCCTTCGCCTAGTCCTTAGGTTTCGCTGGTCGTATTAGTGAAAAAATGGCACTTTAAGATCTTGCGTTGACTACCAGCGATTCAACGGTGTCACCAAAAATGACTCTTATTCTCTCCCTAGGATTGATGGCACTTCGACGCAGTAACTGGCTCTTCCTGGTTTTCTATGCTAGATCTCAAGAGCAGATACTGGCAAGTCGAGATAGATCGCAGAGAGCGCAAGAAGACAGCATTCTCTGCTGGAGATGGTCTGTGGTCTCTGCATGGTCTCTGCGATGCGCCGGAAACGTTTGAGCGCCTGATGGACCAAGTTTTTAGAGACTTGTCTCTCGAAGTTTTTTGGCTATATCTCGATGACATACTTGTGCACAGCAAAACGTTTGGAAGAGCACTTTATCACTTGTCATTTGTGTTGTGACCGTCTCAGGAGTGCGAGTTTAAAACTGAACGCCCTTCCGCTCCCCCCCTCTCCCCCTCCCTGAAAGAAGCATTATGTTTAAAAAGCGAGTGCTGTATCTCGTCCACATTTCCTCCAAAAATGTAAAATAGCGACAGATTTAAAGAAGACTGAGTGCGTCAAAAATTGACCTGAACCACAAAAATAGCGCGAAATAAAGAGCTTTCTTGGCCTATGCACATACTACTGACGATCTGTGAAAGGCTTCGCCATGATTGCCAGACAGCTTTATGGATTGACAAAGCTGAACATGATATTTGAATGAAATATGTACACGTCCAAAATGCTTTCCCTAGACTCAAGAATGCCCTTAGTATCCCTCCAGTTCTTAGATTTCCTCGACCAGGATGCAAATTCGTCCTTGAAATCAATGCGAGCAACGACAGCTTGAGTGCTGTTTAATTCCAATGCAAGATGGCTCTGAGAAGGTAATTGGTTACTACAGCCAAATGTTAAAGGAAGCGGAACAAACTACGGCGTCAGGAGGAGGGAACTATTGACGGTCGGGAAAGCCATGACCCATTTCCGTCATTACGTGCATGGCGCACAGTTCCTCCTGAGAACTACTCACGCATTCGAGAATTTCTCGAATCCAGAAGGACAGGTAGCCAGGTGGTTGGAAAGACTGCAACAATAAAAGTTCAAGACTTAACGCACAGCTGGCAAAGGACACGAAAACGAAGATGCACACTTGCGCAGCCCTTGTCTGCCTGGGAACTGACGCCCATGCATGAAGAGCGAGCAACGCCTCAAATCTGACTGTACGTCATTCTCACATTCTCTAATGATCGCGTGTCTTGTTGTGGTGGAACTCAAACATGACTTCGACCCGACCAACTGGAGTGTTGACGCTCTCCGTGTTATTCCAATAAAGGACAACCACTTACAAGCTATTCTACTGTGGAAACAGGCTGGTCAACTACCAGATTGGAACATGATTGCTCCATACAGCAGCGCAGTAAAGCCTACTGTGCTCAGTGGGATTCCATTGTTCCCTAAGTTGGACTGATGTATCGCGTATGGGAGAGCAAAGACGAAGGAGCAGCACGCTTTAGCTGATTTTACCCGAAATTCATGTCGATACTGTGCTCCGTGAAATTTACACCAGCCCTGCTGGTGGATATCATGGAATTTACAAGACTTGACGAAGAGTTTGGAGGAGATTTTATTGATTCGGTTTCACCCGTGACGTGCGTGAATGGTGCAAAAAGTGTTACGATTTTACGTCGCACAAAGAACCACCATCACAAACCGAGGGAACATGATAACGCACAACGTCGATTCGGCCTCTGAAAGAGTAGCAGCTGATGTTATAGGCCCACTACCCACTACGAAAAAAGGGAATTTGTGTATCATAGTCATTGCGGACTATTTCACTAAGTGACTCACTAAGTGACGAGAAGCCTTTCCAGTACAAACGTATGACGCAGACACTGTCACCAGAACCTTGGTGAAAAATATTGTTCCAAGATACGGAGTACCACTTGAAATTCATTCCGACCAGGTTAGGGCATTTGAGTCGCACTTGTGGAAGAGCATGTGCACGACACTCGGATTAATGAAGACGAGGACAACGCCTTTACATCCCCAGCTAAATGGTATAGTCGACAGCTCAACCACTCCCTCAAGCAATATCTTTATTTGTTCATCGACGAACACCAAGACAACCGGGACACTTTAACTTCGCTCTTCCTACTTGCCTACCGGTCAGCTGTCCGTTCTGCGACAGAGTTCACGCCATCGATGTTGTTAATGTGCAGAGAGTTGAGGTTGGCCACGGAGATCACTTTTGGAATGCCACTGCTTCCATCGCATGTAATAACGCCTAAATATCTCTACTCCGACTACTCCCACCATCTGCGCTCAAAACCTGACTGTGCGTGCATGACTTCGAACGAATAAACCTTCACCTGAGTAGTGACTGTGCAAGAACTAGATACAAGAGCAGTGCTAAGGGTCGTTGACTTCAGCCGGGAGATAAAATGTGGGCCACGTCGCTCCATAGGTCTTAACTCGAAGCTGCAACCGAATTGGTAGGGCCCCAACGAAATCGTCAAGCGACATTAAGACGTGGTTTACCGGATTCAGCATGCGCGGAGTCGTAAAGTTCAAATGGTGCATTTTGACCGCCTAGCCCCATGTATATCTGGAGAAACTTGGGGCGAGGTCTATGTGTTGCGAGCGGGTAATCTTATGAGAGTGAATTTAAAGAGGAAAAATATCGGTGTACGAAGATCTCAGATGGCTAGATGTTTTAGCAGTGCCCTGAACCTAACCATACTTTAAAGGTCGAAATAAAAAACAACAACAACAACAACAATACTTTAAAGGTCCCGATAGCAAACTTATCGGTCTGTCCTTTGGATAATATATTCTACTAGCCTTTCTGCAGCATTTTTGTAAAACGAGAAAATAAAAAAAACAAGTCGTGGGTAGCTTCAAAATGAAAACAAAAGATTTTTATTTGCAAACTTTTTTTTCGAGTGTTTTTTCTGTACAACATACACGGAGTGTATTTAAAAAAAAGTCCGTAATATGTTTAAGTTTTATCATTACCGTATGAATTAAATGAATTCCCCGTGTAAAAATTCGAAATATCTGTGGAACTGGCACTTTGCAGTTACGGGTTTTTAACCTGCCGCCAAAAAAGATCGAGGCGCGTGATATTCCAATAACGTTTTAAAACAGTACAGATAAAGAGCGCTACGGAGATATCCCTTATGCCGCGGGTTCAAATTGCTCGTACGTCCGAGCCGATCTCGCAGAGGTCGGATATATCTCTGGCTCCCGTGATCTCAGTAATGGTTGATTCACAAGCACATTTTAAGACGATACCTCATGACTTCTGAGGTAGTGGTCGAAACCGCATGACACGACAGTCCAAATTCAAGACCAATTACCACGACAGAGATGTTTTCTTAAAATTAAACCGGTATTGCCTAGTTTGACGACAGGTCAAAATATCTTTCGCCTAAAACGAGTCTTACTTAGCACGAAGGTCTAACTACTCAGCATATTATTGTTAATATATGGAGGGCTTGGGTCAAAACATTTCACGAAAAGTCAAAATATTAATCTGTGTAGATCATAGACTCTATTCTTAATAATGTCAAATGAAGCAACGTTTCTTTCCGGACATTTAGGTATTTGAGTGGACAAAATATAAAAAAGATACGAAAACAGAATGTTATTTTTTTCCCTTGTCCCTTCTGAAGGAAACTTTCCAGTGACCCGCAACAATGTATCCACAGGGGGCTGTTTGCGTGTCCTTTTTAAATGTTGATCATAGTTTGTTTTTCTTGCAATATCTTCACAAAATAAACGAACTGTCTACTTGCAGCTTTATAGAAAATATATGACTTATAGTGCTTGAAGCTAATATTAAAGCAACATGAAGAAAAAAGTAATAAGAATTTTCTTTTTATTAGACTTTAAAAAATTATCGATTGATAATTGCTTCTTTTTTGTTCTTCAAGTTCACGATGGGGCCGATAAAAAGTATCTGATATTTTTGTTTTCTTATGTTTAGAACGCTTTCTGATATTTTGTTTAGCTTACCCAGATCGTAATAGTTAAAGCGTACGTTGAAAGTAATGAGCTTAAAAAAGCTAGTAATGTATTTTACTGATCCTTAGAAAATTCTCCCTTCTGAACCATCCACAATATATAGCCTAATCTAACTCTGAGGCAATATACCCAGAAGAATTATGAATAAAAATAAAAATAGAAATGTAGGCGTTAAGCAACCAGAATTCTAAACGTGAAGATAACAATTTTTGTCACAAAAATATCCTGCCATTAAACGTCCGGCTACCTAAAAGGTTGTGATTTATTTCAAATATAAATAATTACAATTTTTTCGTGCTGAGCCAATAAAATGGACTGAAATAAATAAGCTTGCTTTGTTCTTTTTCGAATAAGATCGTTTAAGTTTATGAGTCTTTAGAAATAAAATCATAAGGTTATTTTAATATGCTAAATTGCTTAGGTTCACCAAAATAATCCGTTGTCGACATATTGTATCAGTAAGATTATTTAGTCATTTTGAACCAAGAATCATCAAATGACAACAATGTCATAATAACAAGAAAGTGAATGCAAGCCTGTTATTAGCATAAAATATTTCATAATATGCAAAACGTTCAACTCAAAAATGTCCACCAAAAATTTAGTGCAGTAGTTTGTGCATCTTGTGAAAACATTCGTCTATAATAGTGTTTTAGATCGTACAGTTTACACGCGAGAGAATGTTCGCAAAACATGTAGGTGATGGCATTCATTCTAGCTGTTGCGGGCTCTTTAACACTCCTTGGTTTATGCTTCTCTAAACTGTCTCCAAGTGTGCCTTATTTTTTTTTTTTTTTGCTAAGTGAAAGGTTTTTGCGACATTTTAATGTATAAGCGAGCTGTTGATAGAGAAAGGTGCTATGCAGTTTTGCGTGCAATATTAAGTCGACTCTTTTTCTGTATATCAGCAAAACAAGTGTCTGATTTGATAACTTTGAACTACTGGTTGCACTTGTGTTGGATCTATTTTTCTTTTATCGATAGGTATTATCACATTTGACCAACAACAATTATAAAATGAACGGTAGTCATGATTCACACCTGCTAAAGTTGTGTAGACGAAGAAATCACTGACCACTTTTGTTAGAGCTCAGGTATCCATAATGTTAATTGTGGGTGCATACATGCTTTAATTTTTTTTTGTGGATAAAACGAAACTTCGACAAACACTGAAGTAAGGCCCACCTACTTTTTTCTAGCCTTCACAAATATTGGTATAGTATTTGAAACAGTCTATACCGACAGAAGGTGTCTGATCTTCAGAACTATAGACGAAAATGATGGTATGTATACGTCGCTTTAAGCCAGCTACCAACACATATAATTTGTCTTTTAATGTGTGCTTAAATCATTTGTAGGATGTGTGTTTTGAATAAACCGGAGACAAATAGAGAACTATGCATCTACTCCGCGCGAAATTATTGTAGGGCGTGACTTCAACCGTCAATTTTGAACATTTTGTTGCACTAAAACAAGTTTATATATTTTTTGCGCAAATTATGGGTAATTAGTTCATTAATTTTGCAGCTCACTGCACTTGTTTAAAATTGAAAGGAATGCCTTCACTAGTAGATGTTCATCTGAAGCAAAATAGTGCCTAATTTACTGTCCACGTCGGTCTATGGAAGAATGTTAAAGGTATAGATGTATTTCAAAAGTACTCATTTCAGCAATAACATTTTATCATATCAGTCCTATAAATTCACGAGAGCGAATGAGTGAAAACGTGAATTTACCTTTACTGGATGAACGTATGTCCAGTAAATTTATGAGTAAGGGTCTTTAATGAACAAAACATACTCACAATTACATAAGGTGATAGAAAGTACGTAATTCGTGCGGAAACAAGCTCAAGTAATCATGCGCAGATGAAACACCAACTACTGAGTCAACTCCGCGTATCAACTTTGTTTTGTACCATCTCTTGAATACAGTGCTACGAAAATAACACGCGAACAGGAAACAAATCAAATTATTTCTAAAGTAGCAATTAAGAGCAGCCATTTTTTAAACACAGATGATTATTGTCTTTCTGACATCGTTTTGAAAAAAAGCAATTAAATTCAGTGTCTTTTTCCTTAGCATTTCTGCTAATGAGCGTGAAAGTGCCATAAGAGAAAATGGAGCTCATATACCCGACAGTGGTACGGTAGCCTACTACAAGAGAGTTATTTCTGTTTCTGAATATCATTGTAAGAAAATGTTAATTTCAGACAACATTTCAAATGAATTTTTCAGGCGCTACTGTCCGAGAGTCAGCGAGATGTTAGCACTTATTTTTCTCGTATCATTAATCCAGCGATAGTTATCCTGGGGCCGGTTGATAACTATATGCCTATATAGTTTACATATACGGCTTGCAAACACTTAGAATTTAATATTTCTAATAAACTCACTGAGTATACATTGAACAAAAACCACATTTTAAGGCGATTAGTTTTTTGAGGACTTCCAGGACACTCTAAGATATGTTTCTGGCCGTTTATTTCCCCCCCCCTAAATTTAGGGAAAAAATTGACGTCACTTGACGTCAACATTAATCCAGTTTCCCCGCTAAATTTAACGGGGAAAATGGCGTCACATAACTTTGTCACGTGAACTATATACAAATTTATTTCCGCTAAACATCCAGGAGAAAATGACGTCACATGATGGCACGTGACCTATCCAGAGATTAAGTCCCCCCCCCCCCCTAGATTTAGGGAAAAAATTGATGTCACATGATTTCAACACAAATTCAGTTTCCCCGCTACATTTAGCGGGACAAATTACGTCACATGACTTGATGCCAGCTTACCTAAACACTGATTCAATTTCGCCGCTTAATTTTGCGGGGAAAACGACGTCACATGGTGTGATGTCACTTGACCTACACACAAATTCTGTTACCCTTAAATTTAGGTAACAATGGGCATATCACCGGCCGCGACTTTTTATTTAGTTATTTCTGCAGCTAATCACTTAATTAGAAAACAGAATTGGTTCTACCAAATATTTTTATAGAAAGCAGCATGGGTTTAGAATGAAGTTCTCAACGGTCACCCAGATGTTTGAACTAACTCATCCTCTCGCGTCTGCACAAAAAGAGCCTGGTGACGTGGATCAGTGATAAAATACTCAAACAGCAGGCGAGCTGGACATTTTGTCTTTGAAAAACCTGGTGAATAAGGAAAACAGAAAAAATAGACACAACACACAGTCTCAAGCACAGCTATGGTTTATTTGCCAGAGACTCCTTAACAGCTTTCCCTCCTCGCCGCTCGTGTACACCCCTTCCTCCCGACTGAGGGGCGCCCAACGATCAACCTCACAAAATATGCCACAGATGCCTCACTTCACACATATTTCTGATAATCCCACGCTCGTGAACGCAGAGGCAATGCTGCCGCCTCCCGACCGCTGGAGCCGCTGAAACCGCTGACCCCCCCCCCCCCCCCCTTGCCAAACCCTTCTCTTAAAAAAAAAAACAACTTGCTGAGGTAACGTTTACGAGTACCCATACCAAAAACAAACAAGACACCGTAAAGCCGCATACCCTTGGATGGTGATGACTTTTAGCTCAATGTTGGCTACTCCAACGCCGTAGCCTTTGACCGCGTTGTTGGTTGCGCCTCAATTTAACCGCTAGGGTAAGAAAGGTTCGTCCTCTAGCCGCGTTCCAAAGTTTGTCGGACCGTTTAAGAAAAATTTAGAAATAACTAGGTCGTAATATGTGATGTGCGGTCTTCCTACGTTTTACCGAAGAGGACAGTGTCGTATTTTTGAAAACAAAAATGAAGCGGCGTTTCCCTTTAATGTGAGATTTTGCCACTTACTAAGGCTATCTCTACGAAAACTCCGGATATTAGTTTTTTCCGAGGTCGCAGATTGTAGCTAGACGCCTGCTGTTCATCGCCGGTGTTTTCTCACATTTTGTGTACATACTGCCGTGAGGATTGCGTTCGTTCGTCCCTCTCTTTTCCCCTTTTATTGTAGGGTTTGAGATCGAGGACATGCACCGACCCGCCGACCTTTCTTGAGTGTTTCTCAGTCAGCTTGAACACGAGTGGTGTAAATAGTTCATACACTCGGTACAGGCCCAGCAACTTTGGTGCCACTGAGGTAGAAAATCTTTTTCTGGCATCTCTGAGAACATGGTTTCGCCTCAGCACGAGATCGCCAACTTTGTAGCCGAGATCTCGACGAGAGTAGTCGTATCGGGCTTTTTGTTTAGCTCGTGCTACCCCGAGTTTGCAACGGGCATCCGAGAAAGCTTCAGTCATCCGGGCTTGTAGCGTGCGCGCATGTTCAGTTTGTGTCGACTATGCGGCGCTCACCGCGGTGTTTGCCCTAAGGACGGGGTTCATTAAATTCGCCGATTTTCTTTGAAATGTGAGGAAGGCGGTGGTAAAGCCTGTCGAACAGTTGAGAGTGGAACGCAGAGCGAACCCACTTTCGGGATGTAGGCGTCCCAGTTGCGGTGCTCTTCGGCAAATGCTGCCAGCATGGATTTTATGTTTCTCTTACATCGCTCCGTGATGTTCGCGTGTCTGTGTTAGGATGTGGTTCTTTTGTGCGTGATGCCCAGGGCTTTGCAAGCATTTACAAATACCTTCCCGACGACCCCTCCATGAGCTCTTCAGTGATTAGTGGGGCCGTCAGCTTTCGTAGTGGGAAAAGCTCATCGCATTTGCTGATGTGGTCAATGACAACCAACATATACTGGTGCCGTTCGGGGCTCCTTGGTAAAAAGCTGGCCACGTCACAAGCCGCCAAATACGATGGTTCTCAACTGCGGATCGGCTGCATTTGGCCCGGAGGTTTGCCGCCTCTTGGTTTGAATAGTTGGCGAGTGTGGCACGTGCGGGCGTAGCGGAATACGTCCCTTTTTATGCCCGGCCAGATTGAGGTGCGACATAACTTAATGTAAGTCTTAGAGCCCCTCGCGTGTCCGGCCAAGTGCGAGTCGTGATAGTAACGCATTACTGCGTACCTCAGACGTTTTGGCACTACCAACTTGAACACATTATCTGTGTCCTTCTGAGATGGAATATACTCCAACGGGAGCCCGTCGGCGTTCAGCAGAAATTGATCTAGCGCCCAGTATCAGTGCCAGATACATTTCGAAACTCGGCGTTTACTGCAATACCAGCAGGCGTACGCCCGCAGACGCACCGCCCGCTTCCAGGGATTCCGGCTCTCTCAAGATTCTGTCGATCACCTTTCGACAAAACAGATCATTCTGCTGAGCGTTCAGTATCTCTTCTTTGCTGAACACGGTCCCCACCACGCTCACCGCCTCTACGTGGCTCACGTTTTCGTCCAAGGAGGTTAGTGGTGCTGCTTTCCCTTAGGACTGATTTTTAGCTGCAAATGGCATGAAGTTTGCCGTTGGCTCGGGATGGGTCCTCGCGGAAAGTTTTGTGCAGTCTGCAAAGGCTCACGATAATGCGTCTACCACCACGTTTGGACTGCTTTTCCTGTACTGCGTGACGTAGTAGTATTTCTGCAGTAGTAAAGCCCATCTCGCTAACCGCCCGACGGGTTCGCGAAGTCTGGGCAGCCATATTAGGCTCTGGTGATCCGTTTCGATCGCGAATGTGGTCCCATCGACATAATTGGGAAATAGCTTCAACGCAAAAACAAGAACCAAGCACTCTTGCTCTCAGGTGCTGTGCTTCACCTCAGCCGGTGTCACCGAACGCCTAGCAAAAGTTACCGCACCAAGCACAACCTGGTGCTCTTGGAGCAGTACCACTTCCAGGCCCAGTTTGCTCGGGGTCTGTTTAGATCACGAAAGGCTTGTTCATGTCGTGCAGCTTTAGTTCAGCTTTGTCCACGTGCACTTTAGAGGTGCAGCGGAATGCCGCCTCCTGCTCGGGACCACAACCCCAATTCACGGGCTTTCGCTGTAACCGCGTCAGTCGCGCTTGGAGTGATGCGCAGTTTGGGATGAATTGGTAAAAGTTTGCCGTTCCCAGATAGCAACTAAGCGAGCTTACGTCCGTGGGCTCAGGAAACTCCCAAATATCTCTTAGCTTCTCGGGGTTTGGCGCGATGCTGCCGCAATCGACTGTGAACTCGAGCAAGTTGATGTGGGTTTCTTTTTTTTGGTTCAATGTTATCCCCACGATATTTAAACTGTCGTACATATTCAGATCTCGTAGATGATCTTCGAAGGTGTTGGAGTGGACGACAATGTCGTCGAGATAGGCCATTGCATGTTTCCATTTTGGTTCTCCTAGCACTTAGTCAATGAAGCGCTGGAACGTCATGGCACTCCGCACAGGCCAAAGGACATTCT